ATACCACGTGACACATAAAAATTAATATTTAACTGTGTTTTTTAATATTTACTGTTAAATTGAGTAAAGTATAATACTAAAATTATATTATAATGTACAGTATGATACCAAACTTATTGACATAAATTCATGAAATAGTAGTTCAATAGAATTTAGAATGCGAGTCAACAAACGAGATGACATGTCCTTTCACCTGTGACCAATCTGGAAAGGGTTAAGAAAGAAGCTATAGAAATTCTGAGTGTAATACACATACAGTAGTCCTGTGTTGAACTGTACTATCCAGAGATGAATGATAAACATTAAATTGCAGATTGTGTACCCACAAAACTGAGCTTGAAAATTTACCAAAAGTTGTATACATATTAAAAAAATTACAAGCTGCTGAGTTTTATAGGTGTTTGTATCATATGTAAAGCCACTAAAAGTGCCATTGACAGAACTGTTCAATGTTTACCGCAATAGACACAACAAACACTCCTTGGATAAAAAGAAAAAGTACTAATAAGTCATACAAGTTTTTGTACTATTTCTGATTATATGTAACCAGTTTAACGTATCTGGTAGAATTTTAAAATATCTAAAGTTGTGTTAAGCATCGTAGTAGATGAATCTCAGTTTTCAGAAATATTTTTCGAACAAATCTTGGGAGCATTTTTTTGTTGTTCACTTTGTACAGGATTACTGTTGAAACTTTTTTTGGGGGGCAAGAAATGGGAACTGTGTCAAATCAACTTTGATTTCTAAGATATATTAGTAGTAAAAAATTATTAATACTAATGTTTGAACTTAATGTCAACTAAAACAAGAAGAAAGCTGGAGCAAGTACAGGGATAATTATGTTATACAATCACAGCAAATAAAAAGTTGTGGTATATTTCAGAACTACATTTTGAAATTGCTTGGTATTTTATAGGTGGTGTGATTGGCTGTAATGACGTGGTGAGGTTCCAAAATCATTTTAACATTATGTCCTCAACCTCTGTAGAACTACAATGTTTAGTTAGCCCAGCTAGAGATAAGATCCAAACTTGGACAGCATTATAATGTAATAATTAATAACTCCAAAAAATAATGTTCTTGGTGCAGAATAATAAAAAACAGTTTCATTTGCAACCTTGCCAGAGTTTCATATAGTACATTTCAAATACATTCTAGGCCTCTAACAGTATTTCATCTATTATTTTGAATGACATGACAAATGCTAGTTACAACTGAAAAGTTTGTATTAATAATAAACATACCAGCAAAATCATTTTTGCTCTTAAATGATGTTACAGTATAGAATAAAACTTGAATATAGGAAAAATTGTCTGGATCACATTTGGAACTATGTCAGTTATAAAAAATGTTCCATTCTCAAGACTTACAGCTTCAAACACAGCAGTTATTCAAGTTGGTTGACCTTTTTAATTAGTAGGAAAGAAACTTCCCAAAAGACTGTTGGAGACAGACAATAAGATGTTTATCATCATATCTGGAAAAATACAAAGAAAACTGTAAACCTTTCTTTATGAGACACATCTATTAAAGAGCAGTTTTTATATACTGCAAATGGTACATAATTGTAAGAAAACAAGCAATGTTTGTATTCAGCTGTTCCTAGAAACTGAAAAAGTGATGTTATATAGGGAACCCAACCTATTGTTTACAATTTACTTTGGAACACTATGCAGGTCTGCTAGGGCAGTGTTTTTAGTGGATACAGCTTTCATTTCTATCGTGGTTGTAGTGAGAAGACTATTAGTGGGTGAAGTTTGTTTAAACTTGCATTTCCAGCATGGTCATAGTGAGACAACTCGTTCCACTCCAATGAGAACATAATGAAGAATTCTTGAAGGGCAAAGGAGCATGCAATCAGCTCCAGGTTGATAATGTGGTGTGGCTCTTCCAGAGGGATACAGTCCACTTCACAATACAGATGACGGCCAAAAACAATACCTTCTTTTGGTGGTCAAAGAGCACACGAAAGAACAGCACCATTACGAAAGCTATTCGATTCTGTAATATAGCAATTTCTTTTTCTTTGGTTCTACAGTAAATTTCTTTTCCTCCAATGTGTCAGTGCGATTTGCATTATGTGTGATGCACAGTAACTTCAAGGGCAGGTAGCAACCCCTTAACACGCTGTGATTCCCTTAAAATTTCGTTGTCTTTAGTTTCTGGACAATCTTCATAAAAGAACAGGGTACCCCATAAGAAATCACTACTTTCAATTTTTACCCCTTGAACAAGGAATAAATTAATAATGTAAATCATAATTGCCTTCATCTAGTACAATAGCTGTTATACTAAGTTATCAAAATGTGTCAGTTTTCTGTCCACCAGTCACTGTGTATAACAGTGTCAGTTTTCTGTCTATTAGTCACTGTGTATAACAGTGTACCTCCCTCTATTATCAAAATGTGTCAGTTTTCCATCTACCAGTCACTGTGTATAACAGTGTCAGTTTTCTGTCTACTAGTCACTGTGTATAACAGTGTCAGTTTTCTGTCTACCAGTCACTATGTATAACAGTGTACCTCCTTCTATTATCAAAATGTGTCAGTTTTCCATCTGCCAGTCACTGTGTATAACAGTGTACCTCCCTCTATTATCAAAATGTGTCAGTTTTCTGTCTATTAGTCACTGTGTATAACAGTGTACCTCCCTCTATTATCAAAATGTGTCAGTTTTCTGTCTACCAGTCACTGTGTATAACAGTGTACCTCCCTCTATTATCAAAATGTGTCAGTTTTCTGTCTACTAGTCACTGTGTATAACAGTGTCAGTTTTCTGTCTATTAGTCACTGTGTATAACAGTGTACCTCCCTCTATTATCAAAATGTGTCAGTTTTCTGTCTACTAGTCACTGTGTATAACAGTGTACCTCCCT